ACAAGTGCATCGCTAGTAGTAACAAGTGCCCTACTAGTAGCAACAAGTGCCTTACTAGTAGTAACAAGAAGCTATTAGTAACAAGTGCATCGCTAGTAGTAACAAGTGCCGTACTAGTAGTAACAAGAAGCTATTAGTAACAAGTGCATCGCTAGTAGTAGCAAGTGCCTTACTAGCATTAACAAGAAGCTATTAGTAACAAGTGCATCGCTAGTAGTAACAAGTGCACCGCTAGTAGTAACAAGTGCCTTACTAGTAGTAACAAGAAGCTATTAGTAACCAGTGAATCGCTAGTAGTAACAAGTGCCTTTTACTAGTAGTAACAAGAAGCTATTAGTAACAAGTGCATCGCTAGTAGAAACAAGTGCCTTACTAGTAGTAACAAGAAGCTATTAGTAACAAGCGCATCGCTCGTAGTAACAAGTGCCTTACTAGCAGTAACAAGAAGCTATCAGTAACAAGTGCATCGCTAGTAGTAACAAGTGCCTTACTAGTAGTAACAAGAAGCTATTAGTCACAAGTTGCGAGCACGCGTACCAAACGCCGCGCAGCTGTTTTCACTCGCACGAGCGAGGTCGCGGGTCAGGCTGGTGAGACGGCCTAGTGAACCTGAGAAGCTACTTACGCTACTCCTAGCCAAGTCACTTGAGCCAAAAAGTATTGGCCTTGAGCCAAAAAGTATCATGCAACAAGTGAAACAAACACACATGAACTAGGCGAGGCTACATGGTTCCACAATCGCCCCTCAGATGGGTTCTGCGGCCGTGGGATCCATCTCTGTATCATGCCTCGCCGCGCAGTGCCGCGAACCGCGAGCACTGCCGCTGGCGGCGGCTCACTTCTCTGCCGCTGCTAGCGAGCTCTGGCTCTGCTTGCCCGTCGCGCGTCTCCGTGATGGCTTTCCTTCTTCCTTTTTGTCTTCTCCTCCGAAGACTTCAGATGTCTGCCAGAGCCTCTCGAAGTGGTTCGCGTAGGTCTGGAAGATCTCGTCCTCCCATTGACCCTGAACCGACAACCCGAGCTCCACATTTGCTCGGCTACTCGTGGTATAGTTCGAGCTTCCCACGATCATGTAACTGGGCGATCCAACTCTGCCCTTGAGACACAGGGTCTTTGAGTGTTGGATCCCCTTCAAGCTCTTGCCGACGGACGTTCCACGTCGATCGCCCTCATAGGCTTCTGCGATTGACGTCCCTGAAGTCAAACGCACCCTGATCCCTGCTCGCGCGACTTGTAGCAAGGATTGCCTTTGGAGCCTTGTCCTCTCTCCTTGGCTTTGGCCTTTATCGGCAAGAATTCTTGTGACGCCGTGCCTGATGAGACTGTCGATCACGTCCGGCTGGTCGAACGTGTAAGCTGTCAACATCAGCTCTTCTGCACCGCCCAAAAGGGCCAGGACTTGATCCTGGCTGGCAGTGTTCACCAGCAGCTCAACTCGCGGGTGAACGGACCGCTTGTCTTCCAGAGCCAACGGCTCTGCCCGATCCTGCGGCGGCTCGGCTTCAGGAAGACGATCCTGCACTGCGAACTCTGGCGTCTGACATTCCTCTGGCTCTCGCAGCTTTCCGCCGCGGCTTCCACTGGGGAAGCCATGGCCGTCTGGCCGTAGGCCTTTGGCCTTCTCCACGAGGCCTTGGAAACAAGCCGACAGACCGAGCGATTCCATCGCTCGCCCCTCAGTTGCGGCCTTCCCTCTGGCCAGAGCCGTTGACGCCCCGCTGGCTTCCGCAACATGCGGCCCGACCAGCTTCTTATGCGCTACCAAGGCGACCTCCACGTGGTCACAGCGCCCTGCGCGAAGAAACTCCCTGCAAGCACACCCGGGAGATTTCCCCGCGATCCTAACCCGATGAGCGCCTCGCGTCCCTTTCACTTCCCACGTGGAGACGCTTCCATCAAACTGCACCAAGCGAGGGGTCGCATTCCCGTGGGCCATGTGCATCATCACATTTGCCACCTTCCTGGAGACCCACCAGAACGTCAGCCGGACGATCGCAAATCGAGCTGCCGAGAACGCAGTCTCGATGAAGGAAGCTAACTCCTCACCGCCCTCGGCGATCACTACCTGAAAGGCTTCCGATCCGGTCTCCACGATCTCCTCCATTTCGAGCTGGACCCTGCGGACCACCGGCGCTAAGAACGCGGCAAGGACCAAAGTGGCCTTGCTGCCAAAGCTGAACCCATTGCCGTTCAAGGCGCGCGCTCGCCGGTTCCGAGCCCTTCTTGACAAGGCCCATCCCTGACGCTTGGTCTTCTTCCGCAGTCTCTTTTTCCTGGTCGCGCGAAGTCCACGAACCGTAGACTTCACCGCTGACCGGGTCGCGCGAAGCCTGCGAACCGCAGACTTCACCGCCGACCCTCCTGCGCGGATTCGCTTCCGCTTCTTGTGACTCTGTTTGTGCTTTGTGCCAGCACGCTTCTTCTTGACCCGTCTCTGCGATTGGGCCAAGAACTTCTGGATCTCTTCCGTCAGGTGCTGTGACGGTTTCGGGTGGTGTCCGTCGTCGGACGACCCCTCATCCGGCTCTTCCCGGATGGCAGAGCACTTGTAGCATCTGTTGCGGAAGCATAAGTTCCCTGACCAACAGCGGCTACACCACCAGCTGTCAGGCCGTTGCAAGACCTGACTGAGGACTGTCTCAGTCCGAAGGCGCTTGGCTTCCCTCCTAGAGTCCGGGCTTCTACGCCGAGGAGGTCCGCTCTTGGCGTACCTGGCCATAGACTCCCAGCGCTCGCCGCACCGCTCTCCTTTGATCCAGCCCTCGCAACGGTCCATATTCGGTCCGTTGACCGTCTTGCAGGCTCCGCAAACCCAGCTGCCTTCCTCGTAAGGAAGGTCATCAAGGCCGTCGTCCGGCGGACGGGGGGGAGCGTTGGCCCTGGAGTCATCGGGCTCCTCATTGGCGAGTCTACTTGCAGCGGCCTCTGCGGCCAGCGACTTCCTGTGCTCCTCCGCTCTCATCCTGCTCCGCGCTTGTTTTTCCAAGACCTTCCGGCTCACGGTGGACCCTTGGGCAACTGCACGGAGCCCTGCGTCGAGTCAGTATCCGACTCTGCAGCGCCGACGATCCTTGCTCGCGGAGTCTCATGAGCGAGCTCCAGGCGCTCTGCTGCTACGGGCAGTGCACGAGTCACCGCTTCTCCATAGCGCCCACTCTCTGTGTCACCCACAGGAAGTCCTGAACGCTTCCTGGTGACTGGAGCTGTGGTCGTCGCTGAGACGATCATCCGAAGACTGCCTTCAAGCTTGGCGGCTCCTCCTTCCGTTGGCCGCTCTTCCTGCTTAGCCATCAGCTGGCTGAGGCCGCCTACGGCACCTTCCTGGTACCGAAGCTCATCCGCGGCAGCGCCCCCCAGCAGCGACCGCCGTCCGAGTCCGGCCTTCCTTACTCCAGATGGCTTGCAGCTCCTCCTTGGACATTTCACCCTTCATACGATCAGGCCCTTCTGCGCGACCGGGGTCCGAAGACAGACCACCAGCCCGCGTCAGAGAGGCTACTACGGCCTGCTTGGCTTCCTGCACTTCTGCCTCCGATTTCACCGAAGGCCCTGCGCTAGAGGAAGCTGCTGAAGGCTCTGCCACCTCCTTCTTGACCAGGTTGGCCGCAGCAGGAAGGGCCGGCTGCGTTGGTGCCTCTGCTCAGGTTGCGGAGGCGCAGCCTTGGCTTGCTGGCGCTGCTCTTCATAGCGAGCCTCCATCTTGAACATCTCCTCGATGTGCTGCTCACTGAGCAGGTGATCCTCATCAACGGGGCATCCACCCCTGACACCCTTCCGAGTCTTGCACAGCAAGCAGTGCCATGGCTGCTTTGGGAGGTGTCGGCGGCTCACCATGATACCCCTTGGGGATTTTAGCCGCTGGCCTCCTCTTGACGGGAGACGCGGCTGGCGCCGCACCTTGCTCTGCCGGGCTGTGCTCATCCTTGACGGGAGACGCAGCAGGCGCCGGATCACGGACCGGAGGGCTGGACTCAACGGCCGCGGGCGCGGCCGGCTCCTCAGGGTCTTCCTTGACGCCGCGTCCGGGCTGCGAAGGCGCAGCACCGGACCGCTGGCGCCCCTCAGCTTCATCTTCCGAGGACGACTCATCGGTGTCCCCAGTAGGCAGCTCGATGGGCACCAGGCCATCCTGGCGCGTCCAAAGAAGATCGCCCTCCTTGCCGGTCTCGCCATCAAA